ACCAAACGCAAGTTATGCAAGTAGGATTAGTACAGGGCGGAATAGAAAGCCGCACAAATCCCCGTCGAATAAAGTCGACACCATGTTATTTACAATAAGTACATTCATTTCCTGCAGGGTACATCAATTCGACCATTAACCCGATGATCTACACCATCTTCAACCGCGACTTTCGCACGCCCTTCTACGAGATTCTGCACTGCAGATGCCGCGGTATCAACGCTCGCATGCGAGTAAAGCAATACGAACTGGAATACGGACCCAGCAATTCCGTTGTTTTCCACAGTGAAACCCCTGCTTTCAATCCGCGTCTCTCAACTCAAAACTACTCTCCCATGTTGATGAAAAGGTTTGACACAAGGGAACAATCGCTCCTCGAAGAACCCGCTGTTTGAGCGTGTGCTCTCCGCAGCCATGAAAGCCTATCCGCTTGGAGAACGACCTATCAAACGAATCGTCCACTTTTTTTCCCTTTTATGAGTCCTTTCCCAGGAAGCTGAACCGTTCTCCAAAACCCCGTAAAATAATCCCACAGTCCGTCTACCTACTTCGACCCGGATATTGTAAAATTCTGCTCACATTCAAAAGGCATTCCACTAATTCTCATTGTGACAACCTACCTGCCTCATCAGAGGACAAAAAACTCTTTCAGTCTCGTTTGACTACCCGATTTCTGCATCTGGGTAGAAAACTTATGTCTGCAAAGTTAAAATAGATGACATTGTACTATATGGTGTTAAGTGAAAATTCCTGCGCTTACTTTTCAAGAAGAATGTTTGTCTTTTATCCCATATTTAGCGTGGTTACTGAAAATGTCAGCTGTGAAATTCGCATTCATCATTCCCTGTACTCCAGTATTCTTCAAAAGACTAATGTCGAGACGCAACTGATAGCGTCTTACACTATCATGCATTTATAATTTCGCCCATTTCTTCGTCAAAATCGACCCATATCGTGTGTATACATTTAATATACCAAACTTCTTTCATTTTCTGCCTTTCCATTTAACATCTTTCGAAGAGCACGCTGTAAAAAGCAAGTCTGACATTGAATATAGTAATCAAAGTAAAATTTAATGGCACCATAAATTTCGTGAGAGCTCTTTAGTTGCATCCACTCATTGCGTTGAAGGATCCCGAATGGGAAAAATACGAAATTTAAATTTGTACAGAAAGGGCATAGGTCCAAGTCACATACAGGAGGAAGGTTAAAACAAAGTGGAAAGGAAAACAGGGAAAATGAGTTGCGGGGAAAATGGGGTAAAGGGAATTTGCAAATCTGGGGGCCTGTAGTTACCAAGACAAGGCTAGGTTAACCACATGC